ACCCTTTCGCAGCCACAATTACTATGAAATCACTTAATATTTCTGAGTCCAAACTCATTAACCGGACACGAGAATTTAATTTGCCCCAAAATTTAACAACATGAAAGATCTTTCAAAACATTAACACTCGAGATTATACGTCACATCAAAACGAAAATAAAGCACCCAATGGCCTTCCTTTACATTTCAAGGAAACACTTCTCGTCACATTCAAATCATCTTAACACATCCCACAGTTACATCATAATTATCACAAAGCCATTCCACTGCTCATCGAGCCACAAATTCCACTCGTAGGGACATTACCGGACATATGAGTCCAAATATATAGGTTATAACTGAAGCTACTGAGCCTAAGCTGTGGTCTAAACCTAGACTCAAGTCCTCCAGACTAGCCCATCACCAAAACACAGAATACACATCTTGAACCTTGTTCATAGAATCACAAGCTGGCGATGCACAGCTGATAACCGAGCGCTCATGTGTGCATACAAATGCGTGGAAGGAATTCAAAGAGTTATATTTCAAGCTGAATCAATTCTGCACGATAGAATAAAATAAAGTAAAATTTTTCTAAGGGTTCGGCAGCCTCTCTAAGATAAGTACATATGTCTCCGTACCGATCCGCTAGACTCTACTAAACCTGCTCATGACTCGTGAGACCTATGTTACCTAGAGCTCTGATACCAACTTGTCACGACCCAAAATCTCACCCGTCGTGATAGCGCCTATCTCAATACTAGGCAAGCCGGCAATATCAATAAATCACCATATCTTTTAAGTTTGAAAACATAATATCTAAATTTAGCGGAAGAAAAACTCACAAATACATATATAAACACTCCCAAAACTCGATGTCACTGAGTACATGAACATCTAATATGAATACACATTTGGAAAATACGGTCCATAATAGTATGAGACCAAACGCAGTAAATAAGGAGATAGGGAAGGAGAGGCAAGGTCTGCGAAACACGGCAGCTACCTCTGAATCTCTGAAAAATCAACTGTGCGAAAGAAATCAACACCCGCTATAGCTGGGAACACCTGAATCTGCACACAAAGTGCAGGGTATAGTATGAGTACCACCAACTCAGTAAGTAACAATAATAATAAGGAACTGAAGATAGTGACGAGCTACACAGTTATAGTTCATTTTCAGTAATTCCAACAAAGAATAGACATGCTTTCAAATCCACCATTTTAAGTCAAATCAATTCTATACAGTTCAAGTTCATGTATTCCGGATATAAAAATCTTTCAGAAAATTTCACAAAAATGATAGATAGCAACTAAGTACAACAATAAATGAAAAACAAGTACAACCTCTCAGGACAATAATCACTCACTGGGCTCCCAGCCCTCAGCACTCACACTCAATGGGTACCCGCGCTCACTGGGTGTACAGACTCCGGAGGGGATCCTACAACCCAAGCGTTAACTCACGTGCTGCACGGACAACTCACATACTATAGTATCAATATCTGGATCTGCACGGACAACTCACGTGCTATAGTATAATATCTGGATCCGCACGGACAACTCACATGCTATAGTATAATATCTCACAATCAGGCCCTTGGCCTCGCTCAGTCATAAATTTCTCCAGTCTCTCGGGCTCTCAACAATCATGAAATCAGCCCAAACAACAATGATATGATGCATCAATAATGAACAATAGAGACTGGGATAAAATAATTCAAGTAAACTATGACTGAGTACAAAACAACAATTTAAGCAGATAGTTCGACATGTACACGACCTCTGTGGGTCCCAACATTACCAACATATAGCCTAAACATGGTTTATAACATGACTTACAGTCAAATTTCCATAACACATAGAGAGCACATAGCTAACAACAAGTTATTCAACTTTACAGTTTCCACGGGATGGACCAAGTCACAATCCCCTCGGAGCACGCTCACACGCCCGTCACCTAGCATGTGCATCACCTAGCATGTGCGTCACCTCCAAAGTAATCACATGATACCCAAATCCGGGGTTTCATACCCTCAGGACCAAATTTATAACTGTTACTTACCTCAAACCATGAAATTCTTATTCTGCAAATGTCTTTTCCTCGTGAATTGGCCTTCAAACACCTCGAATCTAGCCATAAATAATTTGATTCAGTCAATAAAATTTATTGGAATTAATTCCATAAGAAAATGCTAATTTTCCATAAAAATCCAAAATTTGGCTAAACAATTGACCGTGGGGCCCACGTCTTGGAACCCAACAAAAGTTACAAAATCTGAACACCCATTCCGATACGAGTTCAACCATACCAATTTTATCAAATTCTGATAACAACTCGACCTCCAAATCTTAAATTTTTGTTTTTTGAAGATTTTGCAAAAACATTGATTTCTTCCATTTAAATCCGAAATAAATGATGAATATTATCATATAATCATGAAGTATAATCACTTTCGGATATAGAACACTTACCCCAATCCATATGGTGAAAAGCGCCTCAAAAATCGCTTCAATCCGAGCTCCATAGCTCCAAATATATTACAAATGGCTGAAACCTCGAAATATAGCTACTACCCAAGTATTTACTCTTCACGATCGCAAAGCACAAAATTTTTCAGCCCCAAAATTTCTCTTCGCGATCACGGAAAACCAATCGCGATCGCAAAGAACAAACTCCTCAACTCTTCCAGATAGCCTCAAGTATAATGGTCATAACTTTTTGTACAAAACTCCAAATTGCAAATGGTTTAACTTTCTAAAAGCTAGACACCAAGGGCTATAACTTGCATTTGTTGCTCATCTCTCAATTCCTTATATATTGCTAGATATAAGATTCTAAAGTCAGCCCTATGTAATAGAGATTTCCAAACTCTTCCCAGACAACCTACAGTTTATCTACCATAACTTTTTGTATACAACTCCAAATGATAAATGGTTTATCTTTATGAAAACTAGACATTAAGGGCTAAAACTTTCATATTTGGATCATCTCCAAATTCCTTATAGATTGCGAGATATAAGCTTCCAAAGTTGGGTCAGTGCAACAAAGATTTTGTTCTATGCGATCGCGAAAGAGCTTCCGCGATCGCGATTCACAAGGCCCCAAGCTGATGTTTGCTCTTCGCGAACGCGACCAAATGTTCGCGATCGCGATGCACACCTCTGCAAGCAGAAACCAGCAATTAAAAATGACCTAGAAATGGTCCGAAACCACCCCAAAACTCACCCGAGCCCCTCGGGACCTCAACCAAATATACCAACAAGTCCTAAAACATCATACGAACTTAGTCGAAGCCTCGAATCACATCAAACAACGCTAAAACCATGAATCGTACCTCAATTCAAGCCTAATCAACTTTGAACTTTCAAATTCTATATCTTGTGCCGAAATACATCAAATCAATCCGGAATGACTTCAAATTTTGCACACAAGTCATAAATGACGTAACGAAGCTATTCCAATTTCCAAAATCGGATTCCGACCTCGATATCAAAAAGTCAACCCCCAGTCAAACTTTCCAAAATTTAACTTTCGGCATTTCAAGGCTAATTCCACTACGGACCTCCAAATAATTTTCCGGACACGCTCCTAAGTCCAAAATCACCATACAGAGCTATTGGATCATCAGAATTAAATTCAGAGGTCGTTTACACATAAGTCAACATCCGGTCAACTATTTCAACTAAAGCTTCCAACATGAAAATTCATTCTTCCAAGCTAACTCCGAAATACCTTAAAACCAATACCGACAATTCACACAAGTCATAATACCTCGTAAGAAGTTATTCAAGACTTCAAATAGTTGAAAGGAGCATAAATGTTCAAAACGACCAGTCAGGTCATTACAATGAGCAATAAGAAATATTATCAAGAGAGAATTGAGAGAGAATTAGAGTAGTAAGAGAGCAAATTGTGAGAAAAAATGAAGAAGAATGTCATGACCCAAACCTTAGGTCCACGACAGGCACCCGGTGCCTAACTCAATCGAGTACCAACGTAACGTATCCTTCTTATCATACTATCATGGGTAAGTGAACCGGAAAGGCCGTCATGAGATAACTAGAATTAAACATAAGAGAATACGCGACATGGGTGACCCAACATGATATAGAAGCTTATGCATGCGACATACAGGCCTATAAGGCTGACATGATCATTTGTATACTCAGAACATAGGCCGACAAGGCCATACAAGTATCCATATACATGACATCTGTCCATAAGCCTCTACGAGTACATAAATGTCATAAAGTTTGAGATATGGCCCCGCCATACCAACCAATACATGTCCAAATCATACTGACCAGATAAGCAACTCTGGAGCAAGTGGAGTGCACCAACACCTTCCGCTGAGCTGATATCCTACTAGGAGGACTTTCAACCTGTCTATTGGTACCTTCGAGCATGAAACGCAGTGTCCCTAGAAAAAATGGATGTCGGTACAAATAAAGTACCGAGTATGTAAGGCATGACAGTAGTATATAAAATACATGAAAGAAACATGGAGTAAAGAACTCAACCTGTAATTTTGAAACGCTTTGTGAATCATGAAAAATTTATAATGTTATGCATGTGCATATAAATGCCATACCATGCATAGGTATATGCGTACATAACATCATCAAGCCTTTGAGGGCATCCCATCATATCATCTCAGCCACTGTGAGGGAAATTATCAACGTATACCAGCTGATCAGGTGGTGGTGCGTAAATAACGCCATAACCATTCCCCCATACCCCATATACATATACTATTCGCGTATATAACGCTATCTGGTCATGGGTCAATATACATGTATAAATGAATACAGTGTATAATGAAATAAGTCAATAAGATCTCTCGGAATGTCATGAGACCCATTAACAGACGATATGATAGTAGGACATATGGGGAATTAAGAACTCCATTTCATCAGCATTCAAGGACTGCATGCTAAAATTCCAGAGCTATTAAATTGAATCATAGTAAAACAACCAAAAGAAGCAACAGAATGAGAAAAAGCATAATGCTCCACCTGTTGCAATATTTGAATTCCAATTCCAACAATGAGCGCACTTTTGACTCCTGGTTCGAGAAGAGCAGCCCAACTGGGACCTTTTGACGCAGTTTCAGATGGATGGACCATCGCTGGTCCAACGGGATGCTGACCCATAAGTTCCTTGGAGTAAAGTGCAGGCTGACTTACCAAAGCAGCAGCCTGTATGAATTCACCATCTTCAGGAATATCACCACCAGGAACTGAAACAAGTGACCCACGCCGAGAGCCAGGGACACCCTCCTGATGCAAATATATCCTTTTGAAACCTCCTTCCTTACTTCCATCTTCACCTTCCCTCTCAGACCATTTCCATGCCAACTGCCAACCGCCACCAATTCCCATGCTGCCTACCCCTTCTCCAGCATTGCCTTGCATGAGGCTGCTATGCCGTCTCACGCTCAGAGTGCTGCCATGGGGAGGAGGGACCATGTTTTCTACGGCGGTTGTTTGACGTGATATCAATGGACTTTGTAGATTGTCATCAGAGTCTGCACCGCTACCATCTGAAGGATAACGGTCACCTTCTCTCTGCAGACTCTCCTCATCCCAGTGATCATCTTTGATGTGAGGATCCATGGTGCTGATCATGCTGCCGAAATTGGGGAATAGCATGCTTCTCATACTTCCTGTATCAGGGAGCTTTTCATGGATGCTACCAAATAGAGTCACAAGAGGATCCATAAGAGGCACA